CCCTGGAGGGGACAGAAATAACCTGAAGAACAAGTTTGAAAGGCTTGTGCTGCCAGGGCAGAAGGTACAACCCAGTGAGAGGGACTCTCACTGCTAGGAGTGTGCCATGAGGTTGCTCTGTCTGTCCTCCCACGGCCACAGACCATCCCAGGGTTCTCTGGACTGCAGGACCGGCACTGACTCCCCATTCTGTCCCCACCCCAGGTTCCTACAACCCCATGACTCTGGGCATGTTCACACTGATGTATTTCTTCCTGGCCTGCTGGACCTATGGCCTGACAGTGTCTGCAGGGGTGTTCATCCCCTCCCTGCTGATCGGCGCGGCCTGGGGGAGGCTCTTTGGCATCTCCCTGTCCTACCTGACCAAGGGCTCGGTGAGTCCTGGGGGTACAGGGGTGTTGGGGGGCGTGAGTTGCGTCACTCAGCCCTCCTCCCTGGCTGCTGGGCAGGTGGCATGTGCAGGCAGAGGGCATGGAGCTGACCAAGAGCTTGGCACGGCTCTGAGGTGGGCTGGCTCCTCATTTGATGCCTTCATGAGCTGGGTCTGGGCTTTCCCGTATCCTGATGGAGCTCTGATGGAGCTGGGCCGTGCAGGCAGCCTCAGGCACCTCTCCCCACTTCAGAGGAGGGTTTGAGGGCCAGGGCACTGCTCATTATCTCAGTGCCCTGGAGCCAGCAGGTGACTGGTCTCCTTCTCTCTCCTGTGCTCAGATCTGGGCTGACCCCGGGAAGTATGCCCTGATGGGAGCTGCTGCACAGCTGGGTGAGTTCCCCATGGCATGGTCTTGTCTGGGGTGAAGGTGGCATGGGAAAAAGCAATCCCTGCTTTCCTGGCACATCTTCTTCCCCAGCTGAAGCCCCAGCCTGGCTGTCAACTTCTTAATGCCCCTGCCAAGCACAGGCAGTGCTGGGGCACCAGTGAGGGCTGGGCATGTCCAGGGCACCCCTGGCTATGTGGGCAGTCCTGGATCACCAGGATTCAGGGGCCTCAGGTGTTCTGCTGTCCCCTTGCTCCATGTTCCCCTGCACTCCTGAACCCCAACCCCCCCGGGTGCCTCTGGCAGGTGGGATCGTGCGGATGACACTGAGCCTCACGGTCATCATGATGGAGGCAACAGGCAACGTCACCTATGGCTTCCCCATCATGCTGGTGCTGATGACTGCAAAGATTGTGGGAGACTATTTCGTGGAGGTGAGGGCTGGTGTCCTCACAGGATGTGGCTGTGGGTCAGGTTTGGTGATGCTGGGGGGCCATGGGAGGCCAGGACAGGCTCGCTCTCAGGGATGAGCTGCTGCCTGGCTGTGCCCCTTGGCATCTCACCAGGCTTCTCCTGATGGCTTGGTTCTCTTTGCAGGGGCTCTATGACATGCACATCCAGCTGCAGAGTGTCCCCTTCCTACACTGGGAGGCCCCTGTGACGTCCCACTCCCTCACAGCCAGGTAGGTGGGATGGGGGATGCTTGTCATTCCTGTGGCAGCAGCTTTTGGATCACACTGTTGGCCTGAGCTGGGAATGGAGGTGGTCCTGGGAGCATGGTGCCATCAGCCCAGCTCCTTCCCCAGCGGGGCTGTGGCCTGCAGTGCATTCCTTCCCCTCTCCTTGTCAGGTTTTGGGGACAGAGGAGACATCAGTGCTGAGTTTAGCATGTGTTGGGAGGGATATTTAGGGTATGAGGATCATGAGGCCCTGGCACAGGTTGCCCAGGGAAGCTGTGGCTGCCCCATCCCTGGAAGTGTCCAAGGCCAGGTTGGACAGGGCTTGGAGCAACCTGGGATAGCGGAAGGTGTCTCATGGCAGGGGATGGAATGAAATGAGCTTTAAGGTCCCTCCCATCCCAAACCATTCTGTGATTCCATGATTCTGTGTGTACTGCCCTGGGGCTGCTTTTCACCTGGAGCCTTCCCTGCAGGGAGGTCATGAGCACTCCTGTCACCTGCCTGCGGAGGATCGAGCGGGTGGGCACCGTCGTGGACATCCTCAGTGACACCTCCTCCAACCACAACGGCTTCCCCGTGGTGGAGAGCAACCCTGACACCACACAGGTGGGCTGGGTGCCACTTGGGAAGGGGGCACAGCTGTGGGGTGGCCACATAGGGGGCAATGTGGGATCCTCACCTTCCCAGCCTGTCTCACACACGGTGCTGTGTCGCAGGTGGCCGGACTGCGGGGTCTGATTCTGCGTTCCCAGCTCATCGTCCTGCTGAAGCACAAGGTGGGTGATGCTGCATGGAGGCCCTTTGGGTCATGTGTGAGCCCTGCTGCCCATGTCCCACTGGTGCCTCAGACCCCTTGTGTCCTGCCTTGCTCGGGAGGAGCTGGAAGAGGGTCCTTGTCATCTCCCTCAGCTCACTTCCTGTCTCTCACCTCAGGAGATAGTGGGGGCTGCCATGCCATGCTGGAATTATTCCAGCATCATCCTGCACCCCACTGGCCTCACAAACCCCGAGTGAGTGGGAAACAGGCTGTGCTGCTGCAAATTGTCCATTTGCCCCATGCTCCTGCCCTCTTCCCTCCCAGACCCTGTGCGTTGTCCTGGTGCCTGTGAGCTCTGCAGGACAGTCCTCAACCATCTCGTTCCTCCCAAGGTGTTTGTGGAAAGAGCCAACCTGAGCCTGGTGCAGCGGCGGCTGAAGCTGAAGGATTTTCGGGATGCCTACCCCCGCTTCCCCCCCATCCAGTCCATCCACGTCTCCCAGGACGAGCGCGAGTGCATGATCGACCTCAGCGAGTTCATGAACCCCTCTCCCTACACTGTGCCCCAGGTAATGGCCAGGACCCCTCTGCCCAGCACCCTGGGGGTCCTGGGAGGGCGATGGGTGCTGGCTGGGGGTGCTGCAGCCCCCACAGCCCTGCTCTGCCCTGCAGGAGGCATCTCTGCCACGGGTGTTCAAGCTCTTCCGAGCCCTGGGACTGCGGCACTTGGTGGTCGTGGACAATCGTAATGAGGTGAGTCCCTTGCTGTGTCAGAGCAGCCTGAGCTCCCCAGGGAGACAGGGACATGCTGCCCTTGTCCCCAGGCTCTGTGTGCCCACCTCAGGCTGTGCCCTGTCCCTTCCCTGGCAGGTGGTGGGAATGGTCACCCGCAAGGACCTCGCCAGGTACCGGCTGGGGAAGGAGGGCCTGGAGGAGCTGTCGCTGGCACAGACGTGATGCAGAGCTGCCCAGCAGAGACAGGGCCTGGCCCCTCAGGGCTGGGGACCCCCTTTGGCAGGAGATGGGGAGAGGACTGGACCAGGCTGTGTGGGCAGTGCCTGCAGCACCGGCACAGCCGTGCTGCCCTGGCTCTCCTGCCTGTTGCTGCCTTCCTATGTCTACTGCCTCCTCACCCCTTCCTCTGCTTCTCCAAGGGATCAAAATGCACCCTTGGCTCCGTTAGTTCCTGGGATAGGCTCTCCCTGAGGGTTGGGTGAAGGCTGGAGTGTTCCATGGGGAGCAGAAGTGCCTTGCTGAGCTGGGCATAGTCCTCTGCCATGGCATGTGGCCTCTGTTTCCTCATCCACCCAACCTGGACTGTCTGGGACCTAGCCCTGCCCTAGACCTGGCTGCAGGTTCTGTGTGGGAGCAGAGGGGACATGATGGGGCCCCCTCCTGCCCCCAGGCCCCCTTTGACCCCTGTCCTGTGCTGGCTGGGTCAGGCTGAGCTCTGGGGTAGGTTCTTGCCTCCCTCGCCCCTTGGGCCAGAGGAGGGGGCCATGCCCTGCTTGGCTGTGCAATAAAAGGGCTCCCATGGTTCTGCAGCTGCCACCCCTGGCTCTTTCTTGGCTCCCTCAGCCACTCTGACCCCAGCCCATGGGCGGGGAGACAGCCTTGGGGTTCGGGGCAGGGATGGGGAGGGAAGAGCTGCCTCCCCTGGGGCCATGTTGGTCCTGCAGCCTGCCACTCCTGCCACCACTGCTGCTTCCTCTCCCCTCCTCCCACATTGGTGTCCAGAGTCACTCCTGGGGCTTATTCTGGCCCTTTCCAGCAGTCTGGGCCCTGCCAGGCATCCCAAACCCCATCACCAGCCCTGGATATGGCCAGGGGTAGGGAGCAAGGCCTGCACTCCTGTGGGTGATGAGGAAAGCTCCTGCTCTGGCACCTCACTCCCCCATCCTTCCTCCTCTCCTTGGCATTGCCCCCTGCCTGGGGATTGCCCCCTCCTCACTTGGGCAGGGCAACCTTGTGTCTGGAGGGGCTTTCAACTGTGGGATCTGTGCTGAAATAAAGTCTGTTTGTACTTTTATTGTGGTGCTGCCTGTCTCTTGCTTCCCTTCTTCCCCTGGGGCCACTGCCCAGGCTCGGTGCCACCTCTGTCGGTGTCCTCTGGGGGCTGAGCTGAGCCCTGTCCCCACTCCTTCTACTGGGAGGGCACAAGCTGGGGGAGGGCTGCATACTGGGGGCTGCCCCTCAGCAGTGCTGCAGTGCTCAAGGCAGGGGTTGGCTGCCCTTCCCGGGTGCTTTCTCCTTTCAAGGCCAACAAAGAGCCACCACAAAGCAGAGGATGCCTGTGCTGAGCCCTGGTAACAGCCAGGTCTGGTGGCGGGGTCGTGGGGAAGGACCAGCTCAGCTCTCCCGTGTGGCTCTGGATCCCTGGCCCTGCCATGGGGCGCAGTGGGTCCCTGAGGCAGTGATGAGTCCCCACTGGGTGCTGACAGCCGGGTGCTTTATGAGGCCCCACGCTGCCCTTTGTCCCGGTGTGGCTGAGATAAGGGATGGGATCCACTGGCTTGTGCCGCAGAGTAAACACGGGCTGCTGGCTCCTGCCGGCACCGCGCTCCCCGCTGGCCTGGGGGGCCGTGCCAAGCCATGGCCCTTTGTCACAGGCAGCAATGACACCACAGTGGCGGGTGGCAAAGGACACCACATGCGCTGGTGCCTGGTGGGAGTCATTTATTCACTCATCCCACCACTGGCTCCGGCCTGGCAGCTCCAGGTGCCCCAGCGCTGGCACTGGGGCAACAAGATTTATCATTAACCGAGTGGCACGTGGCGGGACCAGGGGCCCCCGAGGCCATGGGGTCACAGCCCAGGGAAGGGCTCGGCCTCCAGCCCCGGGCGACCCGGCTCCAGCGGCAGCTCCCGCCCGGCACACGGCAGCTCCGGCCCTGGCTCCACCGTCCAGTTGGCCAGGAGGTCGCTGAAGTCGGGGGTGCCAGTGTGGAGAAGGCTGGCAGGGCCTGGCTCCTTCCAGAAGGAGGGCGGCAGCTTCCTGCGGTGCATGGGGGTGATGTGGCCGTACTTCCTCTCCAGCCGCTGTGTCCGGCTACCGGCCGCCCGCGGGGACAGGCAGCGGTGCACGCCGTACTCGAAGAGCTCGGCCAGCGGACCCAACCTGTGCGCAGCCCCTGGGCTGCCCCGCGGGGCCTCGGGCTGGGCCCCGGTGCTCCGGGGTGACTCGCAGTCCTTGGGCACGGGCTGGGTGCCAGTGGCCTCCTCCCGGCCCCGCCGCCCAAAGTACCGCTGGATGTCACAGCTGATGAGCTCCGAGAACTTGAGGAGCCGGAGGGTGGTCTCGGCAGTGCTGGAGATGGCCGGCTCTGGCCTCACGTTCTCCTCTGCTGCCTCCACTTCCTCCTCCTCTTCCTCCTCTTCTTCCTCCTCCTCCTCAGAGAGGTTGTGGAAGTTGGGCTCAGGGTGTGTGGGCAGCAGGAGGCTGTGTGGGAAGGGCGAGGGCAGGCGCAGCTCGGCCAGGGGCTGGATGACACCTGCAGCCATGTCAGTGCTCAGGGCCACCCCGGGGCCTGGGCTCACTCTGTGGGCAGGACAGTGGGGTGAGGGTGACACACTGTGGCATCCTCCCCAAACCGAGGCCCTGCAGCCCTGAGGTGGCGGCGGATTGTGCCACACCGTGGCCAGGGTGGGGCTGCAGGGCAGTGGGATCATCTCCCGCAAGAGCAGCGGGATGTGGGGCATTGGGGATGTCCCCACCAAGCCATGGGATACAGGGGAGTGGAGATGTTCCCCCTGGCACATGGGGCAAAGGGACATACCCACTGAGCACTGAGACAGCAGGCAGCAGGGATGTCCCCACCAAGACATGGGATATGAGGCAGCAGGGATGCCACCCCTCCCCAAGCCATGGGACATGGGGCAGTGGGGATATCCTAACTGAACCCCAACAGCCAACAAAGATGTCCCCATCAAGCCATGGGATGTGGGGCAGCAGGGATGTCCACCTGAATCCATGGGATGTGGGACAATGGGAACGTCCCTGGGTCATGGCATATGGGGCAGCAGGGATGTTCCCACAAAGTCATGGGATGTAGGGCAATGGGAATGTTGCCCTGAGCCTTGGGCCAGGGGGCAGTGGGGACATCCCCCAGAGGTGCTGGGCAGTGGGATGTTCCCTTCAGCCCAGGGCTGTGCATGGAGGTGAACAGGGCTCATCTCAGCACCCATCCCACCACCCTGTGCTCAGCACCCACCCTGCCACCCCGGGCTCAGCACCAGGGATATCGAACCCCATGTCCTGCTCACAGAATGACCTCATGGGTTCCCCTGTGATGTGGTGAACTCACCACCTCCCCACACTGCCCTGGTGGGCTCCAGCCACGGCTGAGTCTTGCTGAGCTGGATGAGACCCCTCTGTAGTTCATGCTACCTGTGCTGAGGAGCCCCCAGCCCTACCTTGTTGCAGGGCACCCCTGGTCACCAGCCTCGCACTGCCATCACCCCAGCCCTGGCAGGGCACAAATCCTGGGGGACCAGTCCTGCTCCAGCCACCCCAAACATGGTGCTGGGCCATATACCCAGCCTAGGAGATCGTTCTTGCCATCTCTGGGGTCACCATGCGCCCCTCTTAGTGCTGTCCCCACTGCGGGCCCCCCGGCCCTGCCTCTGTGCTGCCCTGGGGTGGGCTGTGGGGGGGCTCAGACACTCTGGACTGTGGGCAGAGCAGAGTGGGGCCACCCCAGCGACAGAGTCAGGCCGCCCCACTGCCACCCTCAGCCGGGGAAACACCGCGGTGCCGGAGGGCATCGCCCGGGGGGGCCGCGGCTCACACTCACCTTGGCGCTGCCGCCCGGCCATGCAAAGGCTCCCGCGCCGCTCCCCCTGCCCGTCCCTCCACCTGGGCCTGAAGTATTTATAGCGGAGCGGGAGCTGGCGGCTGGCAAATATTTGGTAGCCGTATTGTAATAGTAGACTCGGTAAACAGAGCCGGGGTTTGCTTTAGCACCCAGCAACGGGAGAGCGGCGCGGGGAGGGACGCGGGGACGGAAGGCAGGGCTCACCTTAATGGTTCACTAGCCAGGGGATTTTCAAGTGTTGTCCCTGTAAATTCACCTATTAAATCGGCAGCCCCAGCTGCCAAACTGCCCGCACACTTGTGCCGAGGGCTCTTATCTCCCCGCTGATTGGAGGCGAAATCAAGCTTTGTCAAATAGGCGTAAAATTAAATTTCATGCTATTTTGACTCCTGGAGTAGGGATCTTCTGAAGAACATACTGCGTATGGAGCGATGCCTCTGCAAACAGGGGCTGCCGCTGCAGTGGGCAAAGCTTCTCTGTGGGGTCCACCCAGGTGCTGCAGGTTCAGACCCCCCATCTCAATACTTATGCCCCCCCGAGGTGGATGTCGGGCTCCCTGACCAGCCTCGGGAGGGGTTTTGGAACCTGTGCATACAAAGGTGGACATGCTGTGCGGAGAATGGCTGGGCCAGCCCCACAGCACTTGGATGGCAGCACTGTCACTGTGAATGGGGCACTGGGGTGCCCCGTGTCTCTGCTCATGGCCTGTGGCCCTGCTGGCCCACACAGCACCTGAGGGGCTGAGAATGGTGACAATGGGAATCAGCTCAGATCACAAGGAGGCTGTGCCAGAGGTCCTGGTTTTGCTTTGGCAGTGGGATGTGCCAGCAGGGCTGTCTGGGGCAGCACAGAACATGGCCAGGGGACATGGATAGCTGGGGGATGCAGGGTGCCCGGGGACACAGGATGGCCAGAGGACACAGGGCAGCCTGCCCATGACAGCAGGATGGGCCTGACACAGTGCCTGGACTCTGCCACCAGTGCTGGGGATGCACAGGGAGTGGGGACAAAGGCGATGGGGGTTGGGAACAGGCACAGCCCTGCTACAGAGCTGCCCTGCTCTCCTGTTCTTGGGGTGACCACAGCTCCCTTGGAGCCCTTCCTGCCCCCTGCCCCGAGCACCCCGTGCTGAGCTGTCCCCCGGTGCCGAGGTGGGGTCCCCAGCCCCTGGCACGGTGCAGCACTGGCGAGGGGAGTGCTGTGGCTGTACCCACCCCCTCCCCGGGCCGGCAGCATCGGGACACCCTGCGGGAGCAGGTGTGGGAGCACTGGCTCCCTAGAACTCCCTCTCCTCTCTCCGGGAGCAGCCATCAGGCATCAGGCATCAGGTATCAGCCATCCCGCCTGGGCACCGCTGGGCAAACACGCGGGTGGGGGCTGATAAGCCACGGGCACCCTCCGGGGCCGCTGCCTGACGTCACCCATTGTCACCCACCCGCCCGGCACGGCTTGACGTGGCCACCGGCTGCATCCCTGGGGAGCCTGATCCCACTGCCAGGGTCCACAGGGAATGGGGGCTTTCTCTGGTGTTCCCAGCCACTGCTGTCCCAGACCATCTTCCTGCAGTGCAAGAGCTGGGCAGAGCTCACAGAGCCTCTGGTTCAGCCTGGCTGGGAGGTAAGGGCTGCACCAGCCCTTTGCCTGGGTGGGAAGGGTCTGGTCGTGCTGGCGAGGGGCTCCAGGGGTGGGGCAGGGTGTGGGGAGCACAAGGCTTGGCTCACAGATTTGGGAGTGATGAGCTGTCCATCCTCTGTGGGAAGGAATAACACGCATTTAGGGAGCACCCAAGGCTCAGCAGGACCGTTCTGGGGCAAGCCGGAGGGAGAGGCAATGCCACTGCCCCTGCAGCACGCTTGGGCACGTGGTTTTGCACCCATTTGAGGGCCCAGGGTGGCCATCCCTGCTCCAGGCTTTGCCAGGGCCAGGCACAAGGAGCTCCCATTGCACAGGGAAAGGGTCTTCTGCCTCCAGAGACCCCACAGACAAGCAGGGCATTCACAGCCCTTACTCGAGGGCTGATCCTGCACCCCCTGCTCGGGGCTGGCACACACTGCCGGTCCCTTAAAGCCAACGGAGCTTTGAAGCTTTAAGATGGGGAAAACCAGGCATGATTATGGCAGAACAGAGCAGCCTGTAAGGCACGGCTCCGGCACCAACCCTCGCTGCCTTTGTAGCTCCGTCGCAGCACAAAGGGGCGGTGGGAGGGTAGCTGGGGCGGGGAGCTCGCGGTGAAGGGATGGAGGTGAATCCCGCGGGGTGTTGGGAGCTGCAGATGGAGCTCAGAAAGCTGGACAGAGCACCCAGAGCCCGGCAAAGCTCCGCAACAGCCCAAGCTCCGCTGCAAAACCACGGCCTTATCCCCCTCCCGCAGCTGGGGGAACAGTCCTGGGCTGTCCTGTCCTGTCCTGGGCTGTCCTGTCCTCAACCCCTCGTCCCTGTATCCCCTTGTCCGTGCATCTATCCTGCCTCCCGCTGCTCCCGCCTGCCCTAGTCATGCATCCCAGCACCACCAGCCCCCAGCAGGGCCTTTCCTTACCCCCGAGTCCCCCTCCCCATCTTCCCCACGGTGGTCCCCCGCTGTCACAGTGCCATGGGGACGGACGGAAGACACCGCAGCCTAGCCCCGCCGCCCCGCCGCGGCCCGGCTGCTGTGCCCACCACACCCGCCCAGCCCCGGGGCACGTCCCGGGGCAGGTCCCGGGGCAGCGCCGGTGACGGGCCCGATCCCGGCGGGGCGGACCCGGGCTGGGGGGGCCGTGAGTGTCCCGGGCCAGCCCCGCCCCATCGCCAGGCCCCGCCCCTCGACGCAACCACGCCCCCTGCCAGAACCACGCCCCTCCGCCCGCCCCTCATCCATTCCCCGCCCCTCCGGACTCCTTCGCCTCGGCCCCGCCCCCTTCATTCCGCCCCCGCCCCTTCGCTCCGGCCCCGCCCTCCCTGTCCCTCAAGTTCCGCCCATGCCCCGCCCCCGGCGGACTACCGTTCCCGTCGTGCCGCGCGGCGCAGGGTGTGGCTGTTTCCGCCCAGCGCCCGCCGCCGTCGCCGCCGCGGAGCCGCCGCCGCCGCCGCCCCAGGCCCCGGGACCGCTCTCGGTGCCAGTCTCTGCCCCGCCCGGTCGGAGCCGCCGCCCCCGGCCCGGCCCGGCCCCGCCATGTCGGCCCAGGCGCAGATGCGGGCCCTGCTGGACCAGCTCATGGGCACGGCCCGGGACGGTGAGTAGGGGCGGGCGGGGCCTGCAGGAAACGCCGCGGCCTCGGCGGCCGCCTCAGCGCGCGGGGCCCGGCCCGCCCCGGCCGCTGCCTCCGCTCGCTCCGGACCTGCGGCGCGATCCGCCCCCGCCCGCCCGGCCCCAGCCCCGTGGCGGCGAGGCGGGCCCGGGCCTGCCCGGCATGGGGGTCCAGCCGCGCCCCGGCCCCAGGGAGCGCCCGGCGCGGCCCAGCCCCGCCGCCCCGGGCCCGGCCGAGCGGGCAGGCCCAGGGCCGGCTCCGTGCCCGCGCATCCAGAGGCACTAGGTAGGTGTGCCTGCAGCGCCGGGTGCGGTCCGGCACCAGAAATGTGACAGCCCGTGCAAAATACGGCCCCGCTGCGGTTTGTGTTCTCCCTTCTGCGACTCGCTGGGTACTTAAATCCCCTTTGGCACGTTAGCAGGGCTGTCCAGGCACTTTGCACTTTGTTTCGTAAGTGAATAAGTGCTTTTCTTTTCTCTGTGTATTGAGTTGCTATTGAATTGCTTCCCATATTTTTATTTCATACAAACTGAACAATTGTGGCCCCTCTATTTTATTTATAAAGGTTCAGTGTATCTTTGCCTGCCTACATCAATCTGCAAGGGAGTTGCAGAAAAGCCTCATGTTCATCGAGCCGTGAGTCACAACCAATTTTTAAAGCTGTTATAACAAAAAAAAAAAGTGTTTGCTTTTTTTTCACAAGTAACTTTAAAAGTGTAGCTTAGAAAGAAAAGAAAAATTAAAAAAAAAAAAAATTCAGTAGACACAACATTATTCCTGGATGCTTGTGAATCCTAATACTTTACTATTCCCATACTTTAGTATTA